CAAAAACTGCTGGATTCATTGCCACCAAATCTACATCTATCACCCCCCCGTGTGTGTTTAACGGGTACGCCACAGGAAACTACGAAAAGATTGTCACGTGGCCCGCTTAGAACCCCACGTGAAGTCGTTAAAACCTTTAATTATCAACATGGGTGCATTTATACGTCTATCCACAGTTTCTGTATCAGACCATTTTTTACTAACCAGTAGGTCATTTCACCAAACACTACACACATATCTAAAATAATCAAAAAGGGGGCATACATATAGCAAATAGACAAATCTGGTTAACAAGATCTTTTTGGTTATTGTGAACAATCATGCTCTTATCTGTGGTACATATAAAGAAATACTTAGATTTTATGTCAGGTGATAAACACACAAGTTAGTTGTGTTTAAAGTACTGTAACGTTTGAGCTAAGAAACCTTAGTTGTCTAGGTCACTGTTTTATACAAAATCAGTATTCGAAAAACGACAGCACCGAAATTTACTGAAGATTTCAAACACTATACGATAAATATGGCATGTTCTTACTTATAATATCAGATATATGGTTTTATCTTTATAAATACAATTAATAAAGCTATTAAATATCCCGCCACAAAGAAAAATAAAACACGAACATCAGTATCACAATAATGGACGAACAAATTTAATTTACCTACCTATATTTATTTACAATCACTGTGACGTAATTATAATAGCTGAATCACTTATAATATTTCGCCTGCTACTTATCCTCAAAAGTTACCTTTTTAATTCATGTTCAAGTACCGGGTTATAGGCCTAGCCCTCCCATTCGTATTACAGGTATAATTTGTCTAGTATACAATAATTCTTGTTTTGTTTAAGCGAAAAGTTTCACAATGGGTTAATTGGGCTATGCTAACCGCACGAATCTAACCTAGAATTTTAGCATTATAGCTTTAAAGTGAGCATAACCGTTAGAGACATGAATTACTGACAAGTTTTAAACCAAGTGCTGGCCAAACTAGTCTGTCGAACAATAACAAATGTAAAGGCGACACCGTGAACCTGCATTTGCAAAATGAAAGCAACTCAATGCAATGAGCTCAAAGTCGTTTTTCTCTCTTCTAACGTATGGTATTCAAAAAGACGCAGGATCATGAGAATAAAGCTAGCATCACAAACTTTACCCGAGCACTTTCGGAAAGTGGACTTTCCCTCATTGGGGTGAATTGCCACGACAACGCAAGAGGTTTATATGCTATCCATCTATAAAAACCTGAAATAAGTTCACTTGAAGAAGCGGAAAATAAAGCCAGGGTGGAGTGGTAAGGCAGGATTCGAACCCGAGACCACGCTTTCGCTTAGATGTTTGCCCGATATGCCTTGTAGGTGTTCGAATATCGTTCAGGTCTGTTTGACTCATCCAGAATGGTACAAAAAATTGCAGAACGACATGCCATTCTTAAAACATTTCTACGACTTATATAACACTTGGAATATAATAGCATGCTTATCAGTTTCCGCCGTAACTTATACTACTTCAGTGTGTATAAGAAATCTTACTTTGGCGTTATTAATTAGAAGTCACTATAGACGTTGATGTAGACAAACACGGGTTTCCTGATGAGTGTTTAGGTGATACCTTTCATTGTTTATCCAATTTACTATCTTTCTCTGCTCTTCAACTTCTGAAAGAACAGATTTTAACAAGAACCATTACCGTTTATGAGCGTCACTGCTTAATTTCTATCGGATCCGAGATCCGTAGCCTGCTTTGGTTATTTTTAAATCTAAAGGTAGTAACGCGATTTTAATGCTTGCTTTGATAACTGACTGATGACTACGTTATTCCCCTAAAACAATTTATAGCCACAATAACGTTTAAATTCCAAAACTTAGCCATACCTGTATCAAGGGTTCGACACCTTTTTCTTCTTCTAGAAATTAAGCACTAAGAAATAATAAATATTTCCATCAAAACCCTTCTGAATCACTGCTCTTTACGCGTTGTCAGTACGGTTAGATATGTAACATCATGTAAAGAATAACTATTTGCGTAGCATGTTAGAAATGTCAAACTTTTATGTCCATTAAAATGCTTTCTGCGTGATGAGCTGTTAACAACTTTGTAGTGAAATATGAAATGAACTGCTGATACATCAACCCTTTATTAAGATAACGCCAAGTTCCACCAAGTATAAATACAGGAATTTTGGTACATAAAATTCGTATTACAGAGTGGTTTTTATGCCTAACAATATGCAATATAACTTCTTTTTGTTTTGGTAATTTTTCTCGACTTGAAATGACTTCAGTTTTTTGCTTGTTTCTTAATTTTATGGCAAAGTTAACGAGGTGAAAACATTCTAAATACAAGTAATACCTCACTTAAGTGTTTCCTGAAATTCTTAGTAATATCTGAATACGAAAATTTATGAAATAATTATCCCGTGTTCTAGAATATTCGGAATAATTCTTAAACTTGGATAAATGTGTTCCATTCTTTGATTTTAAGCATAAAGCTACATAACGTGCTATTTGTGGTTTGCCCACTGTAGGTATCGAAACCCAATTAATAGCGTTATAAGCCTTCGGGCTTATCGCTCAGCTACTGAGGTGCCGGTTCTTTTGAAAACAGTCGAAGATCGTGGATCAACATTATATACTAAAAATCGCGCGAAAAAATAAACCTATCTACATTAGAAAAAAACCAAAAAGGGAAAGAAAAAAATTACTCTGGTAGAACTGGTAACTTTGTTTCACATTTATCTACTTTCTTTACTTTATTTGCTAAATACAGAAGAAGCCAACACAATCTCCAATCAAGCTTTACAAAAACGCTACCTAAGTAATTTAGGCAAGAATGTTCTGTAAACGGTAACAAAGAAGTAAAAACAACATAAGCTATTTTCTTTTAGGGCAACATTCGTAAATACAATCCAATGTTCCCGTCATAATAGAGAGTTAAATTTATTCACAAAACTATTCTACCAATTAAAGCTGACGTGTCGACAACAGGCCAAAGAAACAAAGATACCAGTTATCAAGGAACTGGAACGATCATGGAAACACACGGGGATTAACTAGAAAAAAAAATATATATATATATATATATATATA